CCATCCATACATACATACATACATACACATACATACATACATACATACATACACACATACACACATACACACATGCAGACACACATACACTCATACACAATACATACATACATACATACATGCATCCATACACGCACGCATGCATTCATGCATACATACGTACATGCATGCATGCATACATACATACATGCATACACATACATCCATACACACCTACCTACACACACTTACCTACATACATACTTATCTACTTACTTACTTACATACTTACTTACTCACTTACTTTCATACATACGTACACACATACATACACACATACATGCATATATATGTATGTGTATATATATATATATATATATATATATATATATATATGCAAGAGTGCATTGGCGCTTGGCGCCATGCGCCTTGTTCTGGACCCTCCCCGGCCAAATAATAAACCATCGCTTGCTTTAACAGGGGGGACCTCGACGCCTGGATGGGCGACCGGCTAATTTTTGTGATATCCTTGGTGCCTGCGGACACCGCGTTCGCCCGATTCGCTTGCACGCTTGCGCGCGTGAGTGGGAAAGGAAGGATATGTTTTCACTCGCGAAGGTCCTGTGAAGAAGGAAGGAACGTTCCCATGACATGCCGAAGAAGTCGCAGTAGCTCCGAACAACTCGATTTGTGGTCGCTTCCTGAATGCCAGGAGGGCTCCGGGCACTCAGGAAACTTTCGATCGTCGAACTTCGAATCTAGATCCATTGTCTGTCTCCTTCGATCGAGGAACTTAAACCCCGAACCTCAAGCGTGGAACCAAGATCGTCGGGTCAGCGCGACGTGCTTCGTAGGAGAACGCCGTCTGGACGTTTCTGGAGCTCTTGTGGGCCGTCCTGGGGCCCTCTTGGGCCGTCCTTGTGGGCCTTCTTGGGTTGTCTTGGGGAGCTGGGGCCCTCCAGAGGTCTTCTGAAACCATCCAGGAACCTCTCGGGGGTCTCCAATGGCCATTAGGGGGTCTCCCATGGCTGTCATGGGTTTCTCTTGGGAGCCTTCTGGGGGCATCTTGGGCTTCTTGGGGGCAGTCTCGGGGCTCTCTGGGGCAGTCTTGGGGCCCTCTTGGGCTGTTTTCACATCCTCTGGGGGGCCTCTTGGGCAGTCTTGGGGCGATATCGGGGGCCTCTCGGGCCGTCTTGGACGCTGCGAAGATCCAAACAACTGATATGGCTGAAAATTTATATTTTCCGGAGGGGATGGGACGAGTTTTTGTTTCTTCTAGGCTCTCTTAACGGCCTCTTGGGGCGTCCGGGGGGCCTCGTGGGCCGTCTTCAAACCGTCGAGGTTCCTCTTGGAGCGCTCTTGTGCTGTCTTGGGTCTCTGTTGCGCCTCACCAGTGTCCCCTCCGATCGCCTTGAGTCTGCTCGCAAGGCCTGGCGAGGCGCCCTGGGAGGCCCGGAAAAGCCAGCGGATCTTTTCCAAGGGCGTCCAGGGGGCCGCCAAGACGTCCGAAAAGGCGTCCAGGGCGTCCCTGGTTGGGGGTCCGGTTTACGGTGGGTTGGTGTGGGGTGGGGGAGGGGGTCCGGTAGAATGTGCACACATTTACACTGCCGATTTCCTTATTCTTAGGAAACTGTTCTGGCACACGCCGAGTTGCGGTCGGAGGGGCTGCGTCCAGAGCGCTCTGGGAGGGCCTTAAAATTCCTTAAGACAGCCCAAGAAGGCCCCAAGAGGTTCCGTAGAGACCCCTGGGACAACCAGGACGTGCCGAAGACGGCCAGAGATGGTCGCAAGACCAGGCAACGTGCTCCGTCGACGGCCCCACCGGGCCCGATAAGGACTTCCAAGAGGCGCCGAAGAGATACAAATGATTGTTTTCCCGCTGTTATGGGTTTAATTTGACACACTGGCCTTTTCGTCTGCAGAGCCTCCACGACGGCCCAAGATGCCCCCAAGCTCGCTCCAACACGGCCCACAAGGCGCCAAAGACCCCAAGAGGGACCCAGGTGGGGCCGACGGCTCAAGAGGGGACCAAGATGGCCCAAGAGGGCTCCAAGACGCCCCAAGAAGGCCTCCAGAACCAAGCTTCGCCCCCAAGGCGGGCGCCAGCGCAACCATGCGATCGGCCAGCTCCTCGCACCCGAAGATGATGACGAGGCCGCTTCGGGCCGCGTCAAAATCAGCCTGCATACGCGCAAGGTCGCCGTAGAGCTTGACGACGGCTCGGGCTGCAGACTACCTGGCCCACAGCTTCCCCGCCTTGCGATGAGTTGCACTGCGGCGCAATCGGTGTGCAACTCAACACATTCCCGTTTCCATGATCCGAAGCTTCGCGAACGAGACTTGATGCTCTAGATCAGGGGGGCATCATGCTGACCTGACTTGAGCAACACACATAGGGGGGGAACAGACATAGCTCCATCTCGGACGGCCCGAGCAGGGCGAACTGGGAAGCACAACCACCAGGGCTTTGCTTAATCGGAGGGGTACAGAACCCAGGGGCACCAGGAGCGGGCCCTTACAAAGAAATACTGAAAACCAGTCCGGAGGAAGAACGAGCACACAAATCCCTTCCTCCCCCTCGTCCGTATCGTGGGCCCAGAAGCCGAGGCACAGCTCTGGGAGGGGAGGAGAGGAAGACCACCCGCCCCCTTCATGTTTACCACCAGGGGGAATGGTGGTAGGAATGGCTAAGCAAGGACGAGCGAGACGACGCTATCCTGGTCAATCGAACTATTCGCCCCCACCTTGATACGCTTCAATAGAACGAGCTACGATGATATCGTACGAATATTACACGACGTCCACACAACATTAAGACGATGTTTCACGCTTCGCGTATCCCCACGAACCCGGCTGCTACCCCCCATTTCCTCGTCGCCACAGCTATATACACATCCAGCGGCTATCGGCTGCTACCCCCCCTTTTCCTCGTCGCGTCCTGCGGCTATCGGCTGCTACCCCCCTTTTCCTCGTCGCCACAACTGCATACAAGTCCAGCGGCTATCGGCTGCTACCCCCCTTGTCCTCGTCGCCACAACACTGGTGCCTGAGAGGCGCGGCTATCATGGGTCCCGCCTCACGCAGGCAGTGTCAGTCGGGGCCGCCTGGGTCGAAGGACTCCCACTGGGCGGCTACGTTCCTGACGGCCCACCCTGGGATGGGGATCGTTTCACCGCAGTGGCAGGCCGCGGCCTTGGTTCCCGTGCTACCTCCTGGGAGTGAGGTACACCCCCCACTCTGCGCTAGACCCCCACGGCCCTTGTGGGCTCCTAGCCCGTGCGGTCGGCTGAAATAACCCCACCCACGGTTTTGGCCGCGTCGCGGCCCGTGGAGGACCGGGTCGACTGGCTGAAGGCGTCGCCCCATTTGTCCCCGCCTGCAGTGGATGGCTCTGGCCACGGATTTGTGCCACCTCTGGTTCGAGGGGCACTACACTTCGCATAGACACCCGCGGCGTCCCGTGGGTTCCTGCTCCTGCGGTCGGCTGAAATAACCCCACCCAGGTTTTTGCCCGCGTTGAGTGCGGGCCGTGGTGCAGAGGGTACTGGTTGAAGGCCCCCCTTGTGCTTCACCCTTTGAAGTCCAGCTGTATGCTAAGTGGCTTCCCCCCAACGTCGGCGACGAACGTGACCATCCCTCAGGAGGTCGAGTACGCACAGGGTGCCATGTGATTGAGTCCACCGCGTTCCTAGGCCTTCTGTGCTCTGTTCCGCTTCGTTTCCGTCCTCTCCTGTTCTTTCCCGCTCTCTCTCTCCCCCCCTGTCGCCCCGCCCTTCGCCGCCCGGTGTGGGGCTGGCGCCACTGTGCGACGCTCCGCTGACTGTTGTCTGCCGCGGTGCTAATGTGCGGGTCCAGCCTATGCTCTGTCTGCCCATCCGTGGCCGACTCTCTTCTGCTGCACTCCGGCAGGGTTTCGGTCCGGCCCCACCTGCGGGTCCGGCCTGTGGTTGCCCACCTGCGGCCGCCTCTCTACCTAATTTGTCTTGCATGTGCATTCCGCGCGTTCTCGCGCTAATTATCTTGCGCTGTGCCCCAGCCTCGTTCACACCGCCTTCTGGACTTTTCCTTGCGGGCCGCAAATCAAAAAATATCCCCACGAACCGATTACCACCTGGTGCTGCAGCTCGCCCGGATGGACTTCCTGGCTTTCGCGCTCTGAGCGGCAGCGAGGCTCGCCTCCTGTTTGCCTCTTCTTCTGCTTGGTCTTGTTTTCTTTCGCCCTTCCTCTTCCTTTTGCGCTAATTTAGGCCGTTGCTAGTCTGCATCGCCCTTCACGCCGCCCGTCCTTTTCCTCGCCGCGGTCGCGATCAAAAAGTATCCTCACGAACCCATGCAGAAACTATGCCCATGAGAGCTGGCGGGAAAAGGGCCAAGAGATACGTGTGGTGAAACAAAGCGGGCAGCTAGGGTGAACGGAGCGATCAACAGAGGTTTCTGGGAGCAAGGGGTGCCATTGGAGGGCCTCTTCGTGCCATCCCTGGGGCCCGCGAAGGGTCGAGGGAAGGAGGAGGAGGAAGAGGAGGAGGAGGAGGAGGAGGAGGAGGAGGAGGAGGAGGAGGAGGAAGAGGACGACGACGACGAACACGACGACGACCACGACGACGAGGAAGAGGAAGAGGAACAGAAGGAAAAGGAAGATGACGATGAAGGCAAGGACGAAAACGAGGAGGAAAAGGAGGACAACGAGGACGAGGACAGGGCCTTCAAAATCGCCTCTCGGCGCCCTCTTGGGACTCTGTCGGCGGATCTTGGGGTCCTCTTTGGACCCTTCCCTCTTGGAACTCTCTTGGGGCCCAGGCCCTGGAGGGCGTCTTGGGGCCATTTTGGAGGCTACCGACCAGAGAAGGGGGGGTCCTCGATGTTGGTCCTCCCCTGGGGCCATCACAATCGCCTCTTGGGGCGGTCTTGCTGCGCTCTTGGATTGATCTTAGGCGCCCTTGGGGGGCCTTTGGGGCCCCTCTTGGGCCTCTCTTGGGCCATCTGGAGGCCTCGAAAGCGCATCGGAAACGAAACGGCGAGAAGGCACACATCATTGTTTTACATCAGGTGGCGTTCTGGCTCGAGCCATTTGGCCTCACGCCACGCTGGCTTAGTGTGGTGGCTCGAAGCCACCGTGTCAGTCGACGGAGTCCCCGCATCGACATAAGCAACATCACAAGTGGCGATCGGTCTTCATGGTGGCTGCACCCGCGGAGGGGCGCAGGAGGGCAGCGTGCTGCGGCAGGCCGTGCCGGCACCGCAGGCGGGCGCGGCTCAAGAACGGCATCGGCCGCCTGACGCTGAAATTCGCGGACCCGAGGAAGGAGGAGGGCTTCGCGAGCCTCCACAAGGAGCGGCTGGCCCACAGCATGTCGTATGGGGCTGTGATACTTGCGGTTGAGGGCGTGATGAGCCTGATAGCCCACAGGTTCTGGGACGACTCCCAGTACCCTACAAAGGAGGCTCGAGAGCTCAGGACGTGGCAGATGCTCATCCTTGTAGGCATCCACGTGGCCGGGATCTTCGTCCTCGGAGCTGGGAGATTCATTGCCAAGCAAAAATTTGCCAGTACCTCGGCGTTGGAGATCTTCGTTGTTTCTGCAGCAAGCTGCTTCATGATACTTACAGGGGTCATTCCGAAGCACTACATTGCGCGATTGTTCGGCCACCGCGACGCGGAGGCCATTTGGGGCGTGGACTTGGGCCCCACGGACGGCACCCTGATATTGTACATCGATATGGTTGTCACCGTCGTGCACTGGCTGATGCCCATCCGCTGGTTCGTGCTCGCCCCCTTGGAGGTGATTGCGATCCTGGCCTACGCCGTACCCGCGGTGCTGCTCGGCAGCCCGGCCACAAACATGGTCCCGTTCAACGGCCTCGCGATCCTCCTGCTCACGCTCGTCGCGGCCTTCGGGAAGCGGGCCTTCGAGTGGCAGGAGCGCCAGCTCTTTGCAGGGCTCCTGTCGGAGAAGCAGATGCGGTTCCAGGCCGAGTTCCAGCTGTCCAGGGTGGGCAGCGGCGAGGCGGCGGCGAGGGCAGAGGACGCCGGCTCCGAGCGGTCTGCCAGGCTGTCGCGCCCGGGGACGACGATGAGCGCAGCGGCGTTCGACGGCAGCGTGGAGGACGCGCCGCTGGACCAGATCCGCGCGATCGGCCTGCGGGAGCAGTGGCTCATTGCCAACGAGGAGGTGCAGATCCTGCCCGACAGAGTTCTCGGCGAGGGCGGCTTCGGCATTGTCGCGCTGGGCCTGTACCACAACACGATCGTGGCGGTGAAGACGCCGAGGCGGGACATCGCGCGGAAAGGCGCCATCTCCTCGACATTGTCCGAGCTCTGCAACGAGCTGAGGATCCTTCGCCGCATCCGCCACCCCAACATCGCAGTCTTCTATGGAGCGTGCATGGACGAGGCCCTGAGCAGGCTGTGCCTGGTGCTCGAGTTCGTGGACGGTGTGTCCCTGAGCGCGTTCCTCCGTGGCCCATCATCGAGCAGTGGCGAAGCGTCCTGGCTTGCCGAAAGGCCTACCAAATAATTTTCTAAGAACCTTTCGCCGACTGCACGAACTTTTCTTAAAACATCTCTGGCTGGGACTGTCTTGTTTGAACACATCTGGTTATGTTATAAGAACATTGTTTTTGGGTTCTAAGACAATTTCGTGGTAGGCCTATCGGAATGTCTCTGCTCAACATCACGCGGCCGCAAGGGGCCCGGGAAGCCGCGCGGTGGAGCCTCGGAGGCCAGGGCAGTGGCGAACAGTATCTCCGTGAGGTCCGTGCTCATTTTTGACATCCTGAACGCGCTGTGCTACCTCCATTCGAGGGAGCCCGTCGTCGTCCACGCCGACCTGAAGGACTCCAACGTCTTCGTCGAGGAGCGGCGCAGCAGGATCGGGGGGATCTCGCACCGCGCCAAGCTGCTCGACTTTGGCCTGTCGCGGATCCTCACCCGGAGTGCCAGGCCTCTCGGCGGCACGCCCCGGTGGATGGCTCCAGAGTTGTTCTCGCGCGTCCCCCCCGACACGGCTGCCGACTGCTACTCCTTCGGGTTGCTGACGCACTTCATCGCGACAGGGCTCCTGCCCTTCGAGGGCAAGCGGGCCGCGCAGGTGGCCAAGCGGCTGCGGGGCGGGCAGCCGCTCAAGCTGACGTGGCCCATGCCCGCCAACGAGATCTCGGACGCCTGCCGGCCGCTGGTGGAGCAGTGCACCCAGGCGAAGCCAGCGCTGCGCCCTTCGGTGCGGCAGGCCAGCCGCAAGCTGTCCCTGGTGCTGGGCCACGTCGTCAGCGGGGCCATGGACGCGGTGATCGAGCAGCTGGACGTCAGGGGGCCTGACGGCGGGGGCAGGAGGTCACAGGGCCAGGGCGCAGCCATGCCCGATTCCGCGGACGCCGCGGCCAACAACGACGGGCTCGAGGAGTTCCTCCGCGTGGTGGAGGTGAGGCAGACCAGCAGCGCCAGCGTTGGTTCGTTCGTGTCCTGCACGGGCTCCAGGGATCTGCCCCCAGTGCAGGAGCACGAGGTACTGCAGACTGGAGAGGCCCCGAACGGCGCCGCGGCGCCGCCGCTCGGGAGCCACAGCGCGTGCGCGCAGGCGCAGCTGACGTACCCTGAGTACAAGCCGACGCCGCTGCGCACGCAGACACTCACGCTGCTAGAGTTGTTGCTGCAGTGGAACGTTTCGACGTCGGGCAGCGCCTGCTGCTGGCTGCACGATGCTCTGCGTTCCCTGAACACGGTGCGGAAGCAGCTTAACCAGAGGGTATGCGAGGTGAAGCACGAGAGCATGGTCTGCGGCCAATGCGACAATTGTGGGCTGCTGATGCTGCATGACCAGGCCTGCTGCGATTTCTGTGATAGCTCGCAGGACCAGTGCATCGGGGACGACCATGCGCACCCCGAAAAAGTTTGGATTCTTGACGCTTCGCGTATTCCCCCCAGCCCTTACTCGCCGCTGGCTCTC